AAATTAAAGGAGCTATTAAAAAAAACCCAAAACCTGTTAAGATGCACCATAGGCTGTCAAGATTCTGTAGGCCACCCCATTTTCCTTAAGCTGCTTGCCAAAAAAAAAAAAAAAAAAAAAAAAATGGTGGTTCAAAGTGCCATTACCTAAGGGATGAGCCAACTTGTCATAGCCCACATGATAAAAAATAGCTTTGGCTGTGCCCTGTACCTGACGTGAAGTAAGCCTTGTGTTTACACATGATTTTTGAACAGTTGAGCTTTAAGTAGCAACTGGGACAGGTAGCTTGCCTCTGGGTTTTCTCAAAATTGGGAATAATGTAGGAGAGGGTTTTTTGTTGTTTTTTTTTCTAAAAATAATGCAAGTTTTTATTTTATAATTTTGGGTGGGAGGCTTCACTCATGATGGTCTCTGGGGAACCAAAACCACTGTCCTGGGAGATCATGTGGGTGGGGGTGGTGGTACCTGGTCAGAGGGATGGAGATTTGTTGCGGGAAAACCACTTCTCAACTCCAGGGAGACCGGGGTCTGGGAAGGGAGCCTGAGGCTGGGTCCTATATTCTCACCATTTGCTTTTAGCAGCTCATCTTTCCACTGCCATGACCACGGTTTGGGGTTGGGGGTTTGGGGTTCTGCTTTTTCCTTTTCTTTCTTTCTTTGGCCTCCCCAGAGATCATGTTCTTGTAAGTAAGGGGTGAAATTTGGTCTCGGTGTTGAAGCGCTAATTCCATGAACTGGCTTCTCCCCTGCGATCCCAAAACACTACGGAGTGAGCTCTCGACTCAGTCATTTATGTACTGGATGTGGTTCTCCTGTGTAAGCGATTCCTTGATGTCCACTCGGAAAGACGAGCACTTTTATCCACAAGAGAAAATAAAGCCGTTATGCCCCGATGCAGTTGTTCTTTTATTGCCATTAGTAAAACGTGGTTTCCAGGAAGAGGGTGGTTGATTTACAGCCACGTAGATGGTTGGTCGAGGGCTATGTAATGCAGCAGAATCTGGATCAGGCTAGGGAGGAGGCTCAGGTCTGGGGCTGCCTCTAGCCAGGCCTCATGTCCACCACCTTGGCCCTGGAAAGTTTGCTGTGTGGTAGGGAGGATGATCTGTCCTCCCCACAACAGCCAGAGGGAGCCTGTGAATACCCAAGTCTTCCCATTGCTCCTCTGCTCAGAGCCCTCTGTGGCTCCCACTCAGAGTAAATGCCTGAGTCTTCCCTGCAGCTCACAAGGTCCTGTGTGATCTGACCTGTCACTTCCCTCAATTCTCCCCACTTGCCCCCCACATTTGCTCTGCTGCAGTCACATTGACCTTGCCGCTATTTGAACACACCAGGCCCCTGCCTCAGGGCCTTTGCACTGGCTGGTCCATCTGCCTGAAGTCAAATGGCCTTCTCACTCACCCCCTCTTTCAGGTCTTTGTGCAAATCTCACCTTCCCATTGGCCCCCTTTCCCTCCTCTCCCCTCCCTGTTTAGTACTGCAACCTCTCCACAGCCATTTCTGATGTCCCCTTCCCTGTGTCCTCCTCCCCATAGCCCCTAGAATCAAAACTACTATATACTTGTTATTATATATTTATATATATAATTATATATAGATATTATATAGATATATAGATATTTACTTGTTTAACTTAAACAAGTGTCTCTTTCAATATAATACCAGTCCCTCAAATGCAGGGATGTTTTATTTTTCACCACCACACCCAGCTCAGTTCCTGTTTGTTAGAATAAAAAAGAAATATTTGGTTTTTGTCCCTGGTTCCTGGCACACAGCTCCTAAAACCCTTGGGATTTCTGGAGTGATAAGAGCGTCTTTTGTATGCTAATGAGAGGCCTGGTGGCGGGGAGTCTCTAGGTAGCTTCAGGAGGGGGGCTGGTCTCCAGAAAGACCACACCACGACTAGAGGGTGGGAACAATGAACCCAGCCCCCTGACCTTAAAGTGGAGGGGAGACAAGCTGGAGATGGAGTTAATCACCAATGGCCAATGATTTTATCCATCATACCTGAGTGATGAAACTTCCATAAAAAGCCTAAAAAACAAGGAGCACCTGGCCGGCTCAGTTGGTTAAGTGCCTTTGGCTCAGGTCATGATCTCAGGGTCCTGGGATCAGCCCCACGTTGGCTCCCTGCTCAGCCGGGAGTCTGCTCCCTGCCCCCTCCCCGCTCAAAAGGCAGAGAGCTTCTGGATTAGAAACACATCAAGGTGCTGGGAGGGTGGCATGCCAGGAGAGGACATGGAAGCTCTGCACGCCTCCTCCATACCTTACCTGCACGTTTGGCTGTTCCTGATTTATATATCCTTTCATAATCAACTAATAATAGTAACTAAAGTGCTTCCTGAGCTCTGTGAGATTCTAATTATCAAGCCTGACAATCTATCAAGACTTGTTGGGGCCCCCTGATTTTGGAGCCAAGTCAGTCAGAAGTATGGGTCCCCTGGCATCTGAAGTGGGGGCCGTCTAGTCGGACGGAGCCCTAAAGTTTGTGGTATCTGCCTCAAACACCGGGTAATGTCAGAGTTGAACTCTAGGACACCCAGTTGGTGCCCGGAGAGAATCGTTTGGTGTGAAACCCCTCCACACACACACACACACACACACACACACACATTTGATGTCAGAAGTGTCGTCAGTAAAAATAGTTCATTTATGACTTAGAGCCGGCGCACCCTAGACGTTTGTTGAGTGAATGTATGAACTGCAGAGCTCAAGTGGGAGCTAGATCCACGGACTCACATACTGTCCCAGGCTTCTCAACTGCTCTCTGTGCCTTTGCTCTGCAGCCTTGCCCTCGCGAGGTGAGGTGAGCTTCAGGGGAACTGGTCATCTTATCCCAAGTCCCCCAAACGAGTACCCGCGGCCACCTGAACCCGAACGTCGGGCCGAGAGATGGAACGTGCTGATTGGCTGGCTGAGACCACGTGACGGCCCTACTTAGGGACAGACCTCGGAGAGGTGGGCTGACTCCAAAGGAAACTGGTGTGTTCTTTCCCGAAGCAGGAGGCGATTGCAGCAATAACAAATACAACATGTGCTCATTTTAGCTTCCTCAAAATCAGCCCCCCCAAAGAAAGATGGAAAGATCAGATAAACCGCCATTCTGCAATCCCCAATGAAAGAACTGATTCAGGTAGTTGCAGTCATTGGATGAAGCCCTTGGATTATTTCTCAGCAGTGACCATGGCCCACCCTTAGATTCTGGGTGAATGTCAGAGTCCCCACACCCAGGCCCCATCCAATTAAATCAGAAGGTGGAAGTCGGGGTGCAGGCTTGGGTATTTTGTGAAAGTTCCCAGAGGGCTGAGAACCAGTGACTTACAGGAAAATATGGGGGAGGGAGGAAGAAGATCAAGGGTTCACAGTAGAAGCAAGGAATAAATCATGCTCTTTTTTTTTTTTAAGATCTTATTTATTTATTTATTTGAGAGAGAGAGAGGACAAAACGGGGGAGCAGCAGTGGAAGGAGAAGCAGACTCCCGGCTGAGCAAGGAGCCCCATGTAGGGCTCGATCCCAGAACCCCAGGATCATGACCTGAGCCAAGGCAGATACTTAACCGTCGGAGCCACCCAGGGGCCCCCATACTCTTTCTGCAACAAATCAAAGGTTGGTGGGGTGGGAGAAGAGGAGGACGAACCCAGAGCAGTGGTTCCCCCAGCATTTGTGCTTTAACAGAACATTCAGAGGATTCTAATGCACGCTCTAATTTGAGAACAGCTGGATTAGAATAAAAGGGATTTAGGAGACATGACAAGTAAACGTGATATGTGGACCTTATTTGGATCCATTGCAAAGAAACCAAATGTGTAAGTGCTGGGGGATGTAAAGTACAGCATGGTGACTAGAGTTAATAACACTGTATTACATATTTGGAAGTTACTAAGAGAGTAGATCTTAAAAGTTCTCATCACAAGAAAAAAGTTTGTAACTATGTATGGCAATGTTCATTAGACTTACTGTGGCCATCATTCTGCAGTGTATACTAATATCAAATCATGTTGTACACCTGAAACAAATATGTTACATGTCAATTATATCTCAATAAAAAACAAACAAGATGCCAAGAAATCAATGTAAAAAGACATTTTTGAGCCAATCAGGAAAATTCCGATTGTGGCCTGGGTGTTGAGTGATAACAAGGAATGGTTGCTAATTGTCTTAGATGTTGCCTTGGTCCATTTGGGCTGCTACTAACAGAATACCACAGACTGTGTGGCTTATAAACAAAAGACATTTCTTTCTCCCAGTTCTGTAGGCTGGGAAGTTCAAGATCAAGGTGCCAGGAGATTCAGTGTCTGGTGAAGGAAGACCAGTGTCCTGGTCATTGATGGCTGGATTTTTTTTTTTTTTTCGTGTGTCCTCTTGTGGAAGAAGCAAAGGAGCTCTCTGGTGTCTGTTTTATAAGGTACTAATCCCATTCGTGAGGGCTCAGCCTTCATGACCTAGTCACCTCGCAGAGGCCCCACCTCCCAAGACCATCACATTGGGAATTTGGTTCCAACATAGGAATGGGGGGGGGGGGGCCGGACACACAAACATTTAGTCAGGTGTGATGATAGCCTTAGGGCTGACGCAGATGTATACATTTTTAGAGATCTCTGTGTACTGAAGTATGAGGGGAGAAATGACATTGTCTGGGATTCGTTTCTAAATACTTCATCAAGGGGAAAAAGGGATCATGAAACAAACATGTCAGACTAGAGGTGATTGTTGAATCTGGGTGATGGGTATATAGGAGTTTCTTTGGAAAAGTTCTTTTGGTTCTTTTTGTGGACATTTTAGATTTATTTTTTCACAAAATAATTTACAAAACAAGACAACTGCATGAGAAGGGAGGCCATGTCATCCCATTTAGGTACTTAGGGCTAAAACCATTGCTAGCTGCCATAAAAAATAAAATGAAGGAAAAAGGATCAGGATAACGGTGCTTTCCAAAATCTTTTATTACCAATCTCTCTTCCAAAAGCAGTGAGGGCCACAGAGAAATAATGAGACAAAATCACCAGCAGCCAGGTGGATCAGATGTCCTGTCCTCCCCCCAGCTCCGTCTGTCTCCTTTGATGAATAGCAGCAAAGTGGCAAGAATTCCTAGCAGCTGAAATGGGAGAAGAAAGAAATATTGAACCAACTTAAGGGACCTCTGGAACCCAAAGCAAATTGGATACACTGACAGGGGGAGAGGAGTATCTTCTTCCTGTAAGGTGAAGGGCAGGGTTTTATAGAGAGCGGAAGGCCCCGGATGGTCAGTCTGGAGCCGCTTTGAACCTGTTTCCACAATCAGTCTCAGTCGTGAGCCGAAGATGGAGGCCTTTTGCGATGCACCTGGGTCATTTTCCCTTTGTTTCCCACAGATCTTAGCTCCACCCTCTTTTGGCCCTACCCTGGGTCCTGCGAACTACATTTCCCAGAACCTCCTGCCCTTCACTTCCGGTTATGGAACCGCAACCGCCCAATAGGAGACACCTACCTGCAGGAGATGGGAAGGCTGGAGGAAAAGTTGGAGTATTTCTTCCCCACTGCCTCCTCTCTCCGGCCCACCCTGAGCTCTTCAAGACTGCAGCTGTGGGCAGATGGCGCCTCTTCCTTGACTCTTGCTTTCCCCACCCCTTCAGGCCCAGAAGTAAAAGCTCCCGTGTTGCTCGCCCCTCAGCACCTCATCCCTCCGTTTTTCTTAACCCTGTCCACACCTCAGCAAGGAAGCCTCTGAAAATTTCTTAAAAGGACCACCTGGGGGCTGCATTCTGTTTCCTGCTGGGATCTTGACTATTATGACCTCCCTGGGGAAGAGGGTGTGGTATAGTTTGCAAACATATATTCGATATAAATTTGTACAATGAAAAAAAATACCCATTTTTAAAATACAGATCAGATGGATGAGACTCATTCATCTCTCAACTGGCAGTGATCTGCAGAGAAACACTACTGCATCTTGAAAATCAATCTGAGGGAAGCGCCTGAGTGAAAAAAAACAAAAACTTCGTGGGGGCCCAGAGGGATGGAGGCTATTTTTTTTTTTAAAATAAGAGCTTTATTGAGAAAATTCATATATCATACAATTCACTTTTCTAAAGTGTACAGTTAAGTGGTGTAATCCCTTTATCTTTAATGTTACTACTGAGAAGGTAAGATTTCTATATGCCATTTCGCTATTTGTTTTCCATTTGTGTTTTGTCCTTGTTCTATTTGCTCACCTCAACTTTCTTTGGTGTTAAATATTTTCTAGTGCAGCATTTTAATTCCCTTGTTTCTTTTGTTGTATTTTAAAGTTCTTTTCTTAGCGGTTGCCCTTGGGATTACAATTAATATCTTAACTGTTTACAACCTAGTTTGGATTAACACTAAATGAATTTCAGTAGCATACAAAAACTCTACTCCTATATATCTCTTTTCTTTCCACCCTCCCTTGTGCTACTATTGTCATATGAATTACATCTTAATATCAGCCTGTAAACACAGTTTTATAGGTATTGCCTCATGCAGTTGTCTTTTAAATGAGGTAGGAAAAGAAAATTCAGTCCTGGGATCAAGCCCCGCCTTGGGCTCTGCACTCAGTGGAAGTCAGCTTGGGGTTCTTCCTCTCCCTCTGCCCCTCCCCCTGCTCATGCTCTCTAACTGTCTCAAAACAAAAACAAAAACAACCACGCACTTATCAATACCATACAATAAATTGTCCAATTGAAAAAATCATACTTCTTGTCTCCCGCTGCTGATTAGAATGCCCACGAGGGCAGAGATTTTTGCCTGTGGAGTTCATTGTTGTATCCACAGTGCCTACAACAATGCCTGGTCCAAAGAGGTGCTCAGTAAGTTTTGTGGACTGAAAAAGTGAACATTAAAACTCTTCTAATGGCTTTCCATCATTCTCAGAATAAAGGTCAAACCCCTCTCTGCAGCCTACAAGGTCTTGTATGATCTACCATCAGTTCCCTGCCCGCATCTCTCCCTACCCCTCTTCTCACTCACCCTGCTCCAGCCACAGTGGCCTCCCTGCTGGTCTGTGAATAAGCCAAGCCTATTGCTACCTCATGGCCTTTGCACCAGCTGTTTCCTCCGGATTCTCCCATACACACACATGGTTATCCCTCATCTCCTCGGGTCACTGGTCAAATGTCACCTCTGCAGGGAAGTCATCCCTGATTCCTTTCCCGATCCTGTCACCCTGCTTTACTCCCTTCCTAGAAGGGATCTTTAACTGAAATGATCATCCATCCCCCACCCCCACTTGAATGTCAGCTCCACCATAGCAGGGATCCCCAGTGCCCAGAACAGTGCTTGGCACACAGTAGGTGCTCAATAAAAGAGCTCACTCTGTTCCATAGGGCCTAGGCCTTACCTGTATCACTGCTGCCCCCAGTAAGCCCCCACTCAAGTTGAAGTTATTTTCAAGAGCTTGGGGAAACAGCCCTGAGGATACAAATATCAAACCAAAGAACCTCGTTAAGGGCTTCTGGACTCCAAGTTCCCGTTGGCCCCACCCCTTGGGCCAATGATGTTCCTCTCAGATTCAGGGAGGAGAAGGGGACAAAGCCACAAGGACCTTGACTCCTCACTTGACTGCTTCCCCTATCCCAGCGTCTCCCCTGGCCTCCTTGTTCCCTCACCTCACCCAGAACATACCACATATCCCCCAGGATCTATCTGTAGTGACCCCCAAGTGTGGTGAATAAGAGTATGACCAGATGTCCCAAGTTATTTTGCTAGTTGTGTGACCCTGAGAAGTCGCACACCACTCTGTGCCTCAGTTTCCCCAACTGTAAATGGGACCAACTGGATCTGCTGCCCAAGTTTTTGTGAGGATTAAGAGAAAAAAAATCTACATGAAGTACATAACAGCGGCCTGACAGCCAGTATTCAGTAACTGTTAGTTATTTCTGGGTGCTCTTTACATGTGAACAGAAGGGCTAACATGTATCCAACATCTTCTCAGCCATTTACATGTGTTTTCTCACTTATTTATCACTGTAACCTCAAAAGGTGGGTACTATTCTTTTTTCTGTTTTGTAGGTGAAGAAGCAGGTTCAGAGAAATTAAGAGACCAGACACAGGGTGTGGGTAGAGTAGCTACCCACTTCCCCTCCTGCAGTCACGGAGATGCTCTCCTTTCTAGGCCCCTGGCAATTCTTGCTTCCAGAAGCTTGAGTTGCCTTGAGCTTGCTCCTGACAGGATTCAGTGCCCCCTTTACTCACTATGCAGTGATTAAGTGTCTACTGTGAGCTAAGCACTGGGAACCCAGCGATGTACAAAACAGACATAATTCCTGCCTTGGTGGGGCCAACATCTGAGTGGTGAACACAGGTAATCAATACAGCAATAACACTGTCAGGTGGTGAGTGAGTGCTGGGCAACTTTCTGTGCCTCAGTCTCCTCATCTATAAAATTGGAGAAAAGCACTCCCCACCTCATCATGGCGTGGGATGAGGACGGAATTCACAAAGTGAGTGCCCGGCCCCCTGGGGAGCTGACACTCTCCTAGAATGATCATTGTTCATCATTACTGCTATATTGTAAGCCCTCTGTAAGGTAGGCAACGTAGCCCAGGGAATGGACTCAGGCCAAACCCAGCTCCACCAAAGCCACTTGAACTGACCTTGAACTGTCCCCTCCCTGAACCTCAGTTTCCCCATATGAGAAATGAGGATGGGAACCCTAAGCCCCCAAGGCTGTGTAGCCAAAATGAGCTGAACACCCAATGACAGTTGCTTTCTTTTGCCCTTGACCACTCTCACTGGGGTTCTGGCAAATACACAACTTTTCTAAAAATCACCCACCCTTGGGGTGTACGTAGGTGACCCCCAACACAGTCTCGAGTTACCCCCTGGTGGATGATGTCTGTGGACACGTCACGCCCATTGCAGGCTGCGGTCCCGATGGATTTACAGCCGCTCCTGGGGTAGCAGTAACCAGAAAAATCTGTGTAGTTCTTCACCTAACAGCACTTTAGCTGCAGAGAGGAGAATAATCACTTGAAGACTCCCTTTCAGATGTCAAAATAATAATTTTAAAAAACCCAATAGAAATCATGGTCACCGGGCGCCTGGGTGGCTCAGTTGGTTGAGCGACTGCCTTCGGCTCAGGTCATGATCCTGGAGTCCCAGGATCGAGTCCCACGTCGGGCTCCCTGCTCAGCAGGGAGTCTGCCTCTCTCTCTGACCCTCCCCCCTCTCATGCTCTCTATCTCATTCTCTCTCTCAAATAAATAAATAAAATCTTTAAAAAAAAAAAAAACTTAAAAAAAATAAAAAAATTAAAAATTAAAAAATTAAAAAAAAAAAAAGAAATCACGGTCACCATGGCTACTGTCTAGAGCAGTCATGCTATTCTGGGGCTTGTGCTGAATGCCTCCCTTACTCCAGTCCATCGTGGCTCAGAACCCTCCGTGGCTCTCATCTTACTTGGGGTAAAAGCTGAACGCCTCACCACGGCCCCCAAAGCCTGGCATGATCTGCCCAGTCACCCCTGGGCCCTCATCTGCCCCCATTCTTCCTCTTATTCACTCAGCTCCAGCCACACTGGTCCCCTCACTGTTCCTCAAACACACTTCACAGGCTCCAGCCTCAAGGCCTTTCTGCAGGCTGTTCCCTCCTTCTGGAATGCTGTTCCCTCAAATATCTGCACGCTTCCCTCACTCACTTCATTCAGGTGTCTATTCAAATGTCCCTCCTTGGGAAGGCCTGCCCTGACCCCTCCTTCCAAGTTAGGCACAGCACCTGTATCAGTCAGGCTGGGTTCAGGGATCTGCATAACAAAGGACCCCTCAAACTCAGCAGTTCATTTCTCACTCACACTACATGCCCCTCACAGCTTGGCAGGGGGACTCTGTTTCTTGAAATCACTCAAGGACTCAAGCTGATGGAGCAGCCACCATCCGGGTGGTTCCACTATCGTGGCAGGAGGAAAGAGTGCTCTTGAGAGCCCTGTGCTGGCAATGAAATAATTTGGACCAGAAATAACACGCATGACTTCTCATAGCTCATTAGGCAGAACTCATCACATGACACCCCCCCAAAGGGGCTAGGACAGATCATCCCATTGTGTGGTGACAATAGGTGACAAATAGCACCTTCGAGTAAACAAACCCTTACTCTCTGTGCCCTTACCCTGCATTGTTTCCCTTCATAGCATTCATACATCTGACACTAATATTTACTTAGCGGTTTCTTGTCCATGTCCCCACTTAAGCGTCAGTAACACAGGGCAAGGATCTTGTTTTGTGCACTGCTGTGTCCCCAGAGCCCTGAACAGTGCCCAGCACACAGTAGGTGCTCAATAAGGATTAACAGAAGGGCTGCATGAATGAATGAGAGATGTTCTCTACCACGTCAAGCCTCAGCAGCCAAAACTGGGAGGCAGGAAGCCCCCTACCCATCATGTGCTGCCCCCCAAGCCTGCACGTGACCCCACAGCAGTTCCTGCGCCCAAAACTCAGATGTGAAACACTCCTAGAAACAGGCAATGCTTTTTCCTTCCAAACCCGCCCTGGTTTCAGGGGCCCTTCTAAACTACCTGCCCCAAGATCTTCCGGTGACTTACGCAGGCTGGTCCTGCTCCTTAAACACCAAGACTCAAGAAGTAAAGGCCACCGCCTCCCACCCCGGGGGATTAGTTTTTAAGAAAGAGAGAAAATTGGGTGCCTGGGTGGCTCAGTCGTTAAGCATCTGCCTTCGGCTCAGGTCATGATCCCAGGGTCCTGGGATCGAGTCCCACATCGGGCTCCCTGCTCAGCGGGAAGCCTGCTTCTCCCTCTCCCTCTCCCCCTGCTTGTGTTCCTGCTCTCGCTGTCTCTCTCTCTGTCAAATAAATAAATAAAATCTTAAAAAAAAAAAAAAGAGAGAGAGAAAATAACAAATGTTGGCAAAGTTGTAGAGAAACTAATACCCTTGTGCATTGCTGATGAGAATGTGAAATGGTTCAGCTGTGGTGGAAAACAGGATGGAAATTCCTCAAAAAAATTAAACATAGAATTAGCAGATGAGGGGTGCCTGGGTGGCTCAGTCGTTAAGCGTCTGCCTTCGGTTCGGGTCATGATCGCAGGGTCCTGGGATCGAGCCCCGCATCGGGCTCCCTGCTCTGTGGGAAGCCTGCTTCTCCCTCTCCCACTGCCCTCTGCTTGTGTTCCCTCTCTCACTGTGTTTCTGTCAAATACAATCTTAAAAAAAAAAAAAAAGAATTAGCAGATGATCCAGCAATTTCATTTCCGTATATATACCTAAAAGAACTAAACACAGAGACTTGAAGAGATACGCATATGCCCATGTTCATGCAACATTATTCACAAGAGATAAAAGGAGGGAGTAACCAAAGTGTCCATCGATAGGGGAATGAATAAATCAAACGTGGTGTATCTGTACAATGATGATGTACAGATGATTCCACATTAAAAAGAAAGGAGATTCTGACCCATGCTTACAACCTGGAGGACATTATGTTCAGTGAGATAAGCCAATCACAAGAGGACAAATATTGTAGGATTCCACTTCCGTGAGATCCTTAGAGGAGTGACATTCCCAGGGACAGGAAGTAGAATGGTGTGGTGGCAGGTGATGGATGGTGGCGATGGTTGCATAACCACATGAATGTACTTAATACCCGTGAACTGGACTCTTAAAAATGGTTAAGATGACAAGTTTATGTTATGTGTCTTCTACCACAATAACACACCCAGGATGTGGAGCTCACCTTCTCCATGACCAAGTCCCATTCTGTGGAATAGTCATCTGGCTCATCGTAACCTCGGGGTCATGAAGATGTGTTCCAAGGCCACTTCTTGAACCTCAAAGATGAAACTGGAAGTGACAGGCACACAAAACAGCAAAGTGCCCCACATGGGGAGGTTTCCTGGGGACAGAGCAGGGAGGTGGGGCGCCCCTTCTGCTTTCTTTCTTTTTTTTAAGAGTTTATTTATTTATTTATTTATTTGAGAGAGAGAGAGAATGAGTGGGGGGGAGAGGCAGAGGGAGAGGGACCAGCAGACTCCCTGCTGAGCAGAGAGCCTAACATGGAGCTGGATCCCAGGACACTGAGATCATGACCTGAGCCAAAGGCGGACACTTAACTGCTTAACCAACTGAGCCACCCAGGCGCCCTCCTTTCTGCTTTCTTTTACTTCCTTGACAGTACCCCTCCCCAACCCCCCCTACCCCCACCCCACCCCCCGGCCAGCTATGCATCTGCACTGGAGGAGGACAATTTCTGGCTGCCATCACCCCCGAGAGGGACATAGGAAGAGCGTGGGTCTCGAGCTCAGTGCATCTGGTTGTACCCACCACAAACTTGAATCATCTGCTCTTTTGAATAGCCCACATGCCTGCTACACCCCCGATTTGGCTGGAACTCGATTAAAGATTTGAATATCATCTTTAGCAACTGAATCAATCACTGCACAAAAGGGGCAAATTTCATTTTCTATTTTTTAAATCAAGGTCTAAATAAAAAAGTTTTCTGGCTGAGGTGAAATAGTCACACGGTTCAAAATTCACAAAGCACAGAAGGGGTAGACCATGAAAAGTCTCCCTCCCACCTTTTTCTCCCAGCCAAGTTCCTCCCACTCCGCTACGGTGACGGTGACTGTTTCCTGTGTCCCAAAAGAGATATTCGATGTGTGTCAAAGCAAAGCATAGTCTCATTATTCTTCTCCCTGCTTTATACTATTCTCATTGTTCTGCATATGGCTGTTGTTAGCAAGAGTAACAGTTGCTCTTGGTGCCCGGCGCACATCCCAGTGGCATTTGTCATTTCTGTGTCCACTGGCCTGGCTTCCCACTGCCAGCAACCGAGGGCTCTCTGTGGCATCTCAGCCCACATGTGCCCTGCGAGCAGCCCTCAAGCAATATTGATGGGAGGGGGATCAATATCGCAGCTCCCTTGCCCCTCGAGTGGAAAAACAGACACACATTTGATCCTGCTCCCAGATGCACCCCCCCCCCAGGACTGAGCCCAGCTGCCTGCAGGGTCGCCCTTTCCCCCTGTCCCCTCCAGGTCCCTCTTGGGATCCCCTCTCAAATAAACGGTGAGCATTATTATAAATGAACCACCCTCCTACTGATGCTTACAATCTTTTGCACACCTCGGTGTATACTATACGTCCTTCTGCACCCGAGCAAGCAAATCCTTGGATGATTCCTAGGGATGGGATAGCTGGGTCAAAGCATCCATGCTTTGTCATTTTGACGGATTTGGCTAAATAGCCCTCTGTCTCTGACACATTTCAAAACCCCAACAGCTTTTGCAGCTTTGCCCATTACTTCTTAACACCTCACCACCAAAAACGCAAGGGAGATGGTGAATGAAATTAACTCGGCAAGTCTCTTGAGGCCTTCGAGGGGACGGCAGAGGTTTTTGGCTCTTCACTCCATTTCTGGAGACCCCATCTCCAGCCCCAGGGACCCATGGGCCAGGTGTATCACCGCGTGGGCGGCTCCCGGGGGGAGGGGCGTTGCTTCTCACGATTTCTTTTTTTTTTTTTTAAGATTTTATTTATTTATTTGACAGAGAGAGACACAGCGAGAGAGGGAACACAAGCAGGGGGAGTGGGAGAAGGAGAAGCAGGCTCCCCGCAGAGCAGGGAGCCCGATGTGGGGCTCCATCCCAGGACCCTGGGATCATGATCTGAGCTGAAGGCAGACGCTTAACTGGCTGAGCCACCCAGGCGCCCCCAGAAATTTATTTTCTTACAGTTCGGGCACCTAGGAGTCCAAGACAAAGGGCTTGGCCGCACAAGAGTTTTCTTCTGAGGCCTCTCCTTTGCTTGTAGATGGTCATCTTCTCCCTGGGTCCTCCTAGGGTCTTTGCTCTGCTCATGCCTGTGTCCCAATCTCTCTCTCCTTTTTAACAACAAAAAAAAGATTTTATAGGGGCGCCTGGGTGGCTCAGTCCGTTAAGCGGCTGCCTTCAGCTCGGGTCATGATCCTGGGGTCCTGGGATCGAGCCCCACATTCGGCTCCCTGCTCGGCGGAGAGCCTGCTTCTCCCTCTCCCTCTGCCTACCACTCTACCTACTTATGTTCTGTCAAATAAATAAATAAAATCTTAAAAAAAAAAAGATTTTATCTATTTGAGAGAGAGAGCTTGCACAGGCAGGCAGAGGGAGAAGCAGGCTCCCCACTGAGCAGGGAGCCCTGTACCAGGGCTCAATTCCAGGACCCTGGGATCATGACCTGAGCCGAAGGCAGTCGCTCAACCGACTGAGCCACCCAGGCGCCCGCTTCTCACGATTTCAATTTCTTTCTAATCTAATGTGGAGTGGGAGCAACAGCATAGTACTTACAATGTGGAATAAGGCAAGGACCACTGCGGTGACTATGATTTCAGCGATGAGGATGATAACCGCGGACAGGAAACACTGGAAGACACAGAGGGGTCGGAGGGGGCTGGGAGCCTGCTCAGCCGTGTCCCTGCAGGGGTGGGGACTATCCCTCCAACCCCCGGGCCATGGGACCTCTTCAGTTTGAAAGAACTCAGCCGGGGCGCCTGGGTGGCTCAGTTGGTTAAGCGACTGCCTTCGGCTCGGGTCATGATCCTGGAGTCCCGGGATCGAGTCCCACATCGGGCTTCCTGCTCTGCGGGGAGTCTGCTTTGTCCTCTGACCCTATCCCCTCTCAGGTGTTCTCTCTCTCTCATTCTCTCTCTCTCAAATAAATAAATAAAATCTTTAAAAAAGAAAGAAAGAAAGAAAGAAAGAACTCAGCCTTGGGTGGGGTGTAGGGCTTCTTTCTTCCACGTGGCGTGTTCTTGCATGTCATCCAGGATGTTGGCACGGAGGTATTCTTGGAGCTAGTAGCTGGAGCCCAGCACTTTCTGGGCACCAGGGAGACCTGTGAGGGGACCTCCAGGTCAGTAAAGGCTCTGTGCCTCGACAGCAGGAGCCTGTGGGGAATCAGGAGGGATGGTGGGAAGGACAGAACACAGAACGGAGGCAGGAGGCGGGGAGGAGAAGCAGGCTGAGAACTCTTGCAAATGGGGGGAGGGGGCTGTAGGGAAGACGCAGGGTGATAGGTCGGTGGCTGCGGGGTCGGTGGTAGTGGTGGGGGGCTTATGTTTGCTGGCCTATGCTGGCCCCTGTGGCTGAGATGCCACAGACAGCCCTTGGCCTTGTGACAAAATTCACAAGCCCAATGGAAAACGATGAGAAAGACAGCAAGCAGAGGGGATGTCTTGAAGTCACCCATCAAGGAGAAACTGCTGCTCAGTCGAGGCCTCAGTTTCCCCATAGATACAATGTGGGCATGGGACCAGCTCAAGGGGTGCTGTAAGTTCTGGAGAGCTTCTGGAAGCCAGATGGGGGCAAAGTAGGTCAGCTCCTGGCTCTCCTTTCATCTATTTGATTATGATTACTAAAATCTGTTTGCTAACTGAGGCTTTGAGTTGCCAGACTGGCCCATGGCTGGGCTTATCTAGTCCTGATATGGAAAGTCAGGAAAACGCAGTGGATACACACCCAGGGACCCCAGAACCCACAAGGACAAACACGGGAGCAGGGATTAGTGGTTGTGGGACCCCAGACAAGTGGCTCATGTAACGGATTGTGAGGATTAATATTAATATTACTACCTCCCTGCCTCTGGGTGACTGAGGTGGCTGGAGGATAGATATCCAGGCGTCCGTACGTCCTACAGGTTCCATCTTCAGGATCTATCCCTAATCTGCCCACTTCTCCCCCCCTCCACACCCTCACCCGGCCCAGCCCCCACTGTCTCCCACCTGGACCAGCACAGTCCCTTCACCCTGGTCTCTCAGTCAGGCCCTCGTCCCCCACCCTCTGTTCCCCTAATGACCACGAGAGGGCGCTTGTGAGCACCCGAGTCAAGGCACATCCTTCCTCTGCTCAGAATCCTCTGTGGCTCCCAACACCATAAAAAACGATTTTGCTTTTCTGAGTGAGGTCTCAGAGGCTTTGGAGGGACAGACGCGAAGGGTAAAGTTAATCTGATTTGCTGATGGGTTGGATGTAGGGTGTGTGGGCTCTTTGATTCCTCCAAGCTAAGCTATGAATAAAATAGCATATACATCATACTGAAAATAAAATGGACTATTTCAGGAACAGGACCTGTCCAATAAATATTTGCTGAATGTAGTAATCAAGAAAGAAAACGAGATAATAGAGTTTCAGGGAGGAGGAGGGTGGGGGCGGGGTGCTTTTTGACAATGGAGATTGTTTATGCTCTGAAAGATGACCCTACTAAGGATCTCCCTGAAACCCCCAAATTGAAATAACCAGAGTTTTGCAACAACACAGTGAAGGAAGGAAAACAAAAAATGCTGGAGACAAATTTTACCTAAGGTGGGATAATCCACTCAGACAAGATTCTAAGGGAAATGGGAGTGGGGAAGATGGGAGCTGGCCTTTGGGGAGTTGGCCAAGGCTATGTGAGAATGAGCAAGACATGTAAAATCTACAACATGCCGTATGCATGATCATGCTTAAAACTTTCCCACCTCATGTACTCGAACATGTACTTGTGCAGACATGAGGATAACAACTGTATTGTGTTAGTGGGAACATACACATGGGCTGATGGAACAGAGCAGTGTGCCCAGGAAAGACCCAGGCATAATGGCAATTAGTGTAGGCAGAAGAGGACTGACCCCTACCTCACACCACACACACCTAATCCAACTGCCAAAAGCCAAAGAGCTAAAAGTGAGAACTCAAGAACTTAAAATGATGGGAAGAAAACCTAGGAGACTAGAATGTATGGCCTGGTAGGAGAGGAGTTCTAACGGAGATATATCATAAAGGAAAAGATAGATGCATCTCATGCCATCATATGAGACACCATAAACACTGAAAAATAGGGGGTGCTGATGGCAGGGGTTTGTAAAATGTGCAAGGAAGGATTCACATGGTGGTGGGGTGGGAGTTTTGGGGGATGTATGCAGATCCAACTTACAAACAAGAGAGTACCTCTGCTTTCTTTGGTTGCTCTATACCACCCAGCAAAGCTGAGCAGCACTGTGATGCAGCCCATTGCCAGGCACAGGTAGCCAATGTGAAGGAGATATGCAGAGGCCAGCCCAAGGACCCTTATGAGGACAGCCCCTCTGAACTTGACATAGATGCTCAGGCCAATGGGGATCACACCAGACATCTTTAGGACAGAAATCAGACAGGAAAAAAAGTCTGTTAGTTGTATACAAATAGAACTCTCGCTGGGGGTGGGAATGGGGGTGGGAGGGGAAGAGCAAAGGCAAATAAAATCAGCAAAAACATTAAAAATGTTAATACCCAGAGTTAGTGAGGATGTGGAGAGACATTCTCACATATTGTTGCCAGGCAACAAGCTTTTTTGAGGGGGACGGTGTGCAGAAGGACACTTTGCAATTCATATTTAAAATCTTTTTTTTTAAGATTTTTTTATTTATTCATTTGAGACACAGAGATACAGAGAGAGAGAGAGAGAGAGAGAGCATGAGCAGGGAGAGAGGCAGAGGGAGAGGGAGAAGCAGGTTCCCCGCTGAGCAGGAAGCCTGATGCGGGGCTCGATCCCAGGACGCTGGGATCATGACCTGAGCCGAAGGCAGATGCTTAACCATCTGAGCCACCCAGGCGCCCCCATATTTAAAATCTTAAAGGTTTTACAGTAAAACCCTTTACCTAGAAATTACATTTGTAGTTATTCAGCCTAATATCTGATATCCTAATAGACATGCACATACATACCTCAATATCAGAATGCTCAGGGATGACACTACCTGAAGCAATCAATAATACAGATTGGGTAGGTAAATCATGGGACAGCCATGCAATGGGACTCTAGACAGTTCTTTTAAATAATGCTCTAGGACAAGGGTTGGCAATTTTTGTGTATGTGAAAAGCCCCAGATATTGTGAGCTTTGTTAGGCCATAAGGCCCCTGCTGAAACAATTCAGCTCTGTCAGTGTAGCTCAAAAGCAGCCATGTGCAATTCATAAACAAATATATTTTATTTACAAATAAATAATATCTATCTATCTATTTACAAGGCTGTAGTTGGCTGATCCTTATTGTAGGAGGAGAATGTTTATTGATATGGCAGTCATGTTCTTTGGTATTTATACAACTGAGCTGAAAACTAATGTTTTCTGCACATGGATGTTTCTAGAAGCTCATAGTTGCCAAAACTTGAAAGCAACCAAGATAGCCTTCAGCAGGTGAATGGATAAACTGTGGGACATTCAATGGAAGATTAGCACTAAAAAAAAATGAGCCATTAAGCCATGAAAAGATATGAAGGAAACTCGCAATCATATTGCTGAGTGAAAGAAGCCAATTTGAAAAGGCTACACAGTGTATGATTCCAAGTATATGTCATCCTGTAAAAGGCAAAACTATGGAGACAGTAGAAGGACCAGTGGTCGCCAGGGGTTAGTGGGGAGGTAGAGAAGACAGGTGGAGCACAGGGATTTTTAGGGCGGTGAAACTACTCCCTATAATAATACTAAAATGGTGGATACATTGTCAAAAGCCATAGAATGTACAACACCAAGAGTGAACCCTAATGTAAACTATGCATTCTGGGTGATGATAATGTCCATGTAAATTCATCAATTGTAGCAAATATACTGCTCCGCTGGGAATGTTCTGATGAGGAACGCTGTGTGTGTGTGGAGCAGGGGTATATGGGAAATCTCAGTACCTTCTGCTCAACTTTGCTGTGAACCTAAAACTGCTCTAAAAAATAAAGTCTATCCGGGGCACCTGGGTGGCTCAGTCAGTTAAGCGTCTGCTTTCGGCTCAGGTCACGATCCCAGGGTCCTGGGATCAAGCCCCACATCGGGCTCCCTGCTCAGCAGGAAGCCTGCTTCTCCCTCTCCTGCTCCCCCTGCTTGTATTCCTTCTCTTGCTGTGTCTCTCTCCGTCAAATAAATAAATAAAATCTTTAAAAAATAATAATAGTCTATCCAAAAGGAGGGGAAGTTACATTTTTAAAAAGGGGGAAAGTGGATTGTAAAGCAATAGCTTTTCTATGTTTGTTTTGCTGTTTTTAAAAGGTAAACAGGAAAATCTGGAAGGATATAAAAATGGGGATGGTATTTATTGAGCAATGTTCCCATGATAGGTATAAGCTCTTTAAATGTTCTGTATCATTTAATTTCCATGAAAATGTTACAACACAGATAACAAGATGAGGAGTGATATTTAATATCCTTCTTTTTCCTGGCAACCTTTTCTTAATGTCATTCGGCTATCAAAACAATTGCTTATTTTTTTATTTTTATTTTTTAAAAGATTTTATTTATTTATTTGATAGAGAGACAGCGAGGGAGAGGGCACAAACAGGGGGAGTGGGAGAGGGAGAAGAAGGTTTCCCACTGAGCAGGGAGCCCGATGCGGGGCTGGATCCCAGGACGCTGGGATTATGACCTGAGCTGAAGGCAGACGCTTAACAGTCTGAGCCATCCAGGCGCCCCCCAATAAAATCTTTTAAAAAGAAAAAAAAGAGATTTATTTTATTTTGAGAGAGGGGGAGGGGCAGAGGGAGAGAAAGAGAATCCCAGGCAGACTCTGCACTGAGCCCAACGGGGGGAGGGGGGCGCTCAATCTCACCACCTGGAGATCAAGCCAAAGCCAAGAGTTGGCTGCTTAACCGACTGCGCCACCCAGGCGCCCCAAAACAATTGCTTCTTAAAGATGCACATTTTGGGTCACTTTTATAGTAAGAAAAAAAAGTGTTTTGAAGAATTTAAAGGACCCAGAAAAATAACCACTCCCTTTTATCCTTCCCAAACAACTTAGTGTTCTGCAGGATTTGACTTAGAGTCAAGCTCTTCCGCCACCAACCCAGGCCCCAACCCCCCCCTCCCCAGCCCCCCCATCACAGCCTCTGTGTTTGATTTCACCTACTCTGAGTCGATAGAGCCTACACCTGTTCCCAATGTGTCCTCCTCCTCGTCAGTCTGCCCTACATCCTTCCTGCTTCCCTGGGGACGACCGATCTGGATGCCAGTGAATTTGGATCAACTTATTTCTGTCTTTGAGGGAGCCAGCTATGGAGGAAGGGCTGCAAAGCCCCAGGGCCTGGGTGGTGACATACTTCCAACCACGAAGCCATTGAAGAAAGATAACAGTCTCTTCAGGGAAGAATACGGAGTGTGCATTTCATCCATGTCAGCCGGACTGGGTGCTCTGGACGTTTTAGTCAGCATCTTCCTAAATAAACTTCAGGGCTACTGTTTCCCCAGATGGTATAGGTCTAGGGTCGGGGGCACCAAGGCTGACTTGCCCCTCTCTCTCCTGGCTGTCTGATATCTGCCAGGGAGGGGCCCCAGCAGCCACCCCTCCTCAATCATAAGCCTCCATCACATCACAATCGGATGCCGGAGCAAGGCTCCCCATGCCCAGGAAGCAGGTGCCCCGAGCTACCCCTGCTGGCTCCTCATCCTCCAAATAGGCTGCACCAGGGATGGAGAGAAGGCATGATGTCCTGCCCTGGTACACCCCTAGATGACACCTGGGCCTTCTGGGCATAGTGTTCAGCACTGACCGCTCTGGCCCTGCTAGACTGGGAGCTCCGAGTGGGCACGGTCCTGGGCTGTCCTCGTCCTGTTCCCAAAGCCTGGCACACAGTAGGTGCTCAAGAAACTGATGTGGAATGAATGAATGAAGAAGCTCCAGGAAGCAGGATCTAGCTACAAGCCATCAGGTCCCCCAAGCCTCTGCCTCCACATTAGCTCATTTGACTCATCCTCATCCTTCTCACAGGGCTCAGAGGCCAAGGTAACTGCCCAGGGTGACACAGGAAGCAAGGTCGAGGCTGGGCTTTGAAGCTCCAAGAGTGACGTGAAGGTGGGAACCTCTGACAGCCCTCCACCCTCCCCACTCCAGCCCCACTCCCACTCCCACCAAAACCTTTTCTTTCTCCCTCTGAGGTCTGCTCAGCCATAGCAGGTGAAGGAATTTTCCTTGAGCCCATGTGCCACTGATCAGCAGGCTTGACGGGCATAGCAGGCATTTCAGAGCAAAAATTGTGCACGAGGGCATAGAGACCCCCCCCCACACACACATTTGAATTAATTTAAGGAATGTTTGTCAAATTGCTTCTTGAAACATGTGGAACTAAAAATGTTCACATAGGAGTGACCATCTACTCCCTGGACTGCGGGTCACATTCACATCCAGGAGTGTATCCTTCCATGACTTTCTCCAAAAGGTCATTTGAAGTAAGGAGCCTAAGAGCCAGGGGCAGAGGGCCTCACAATGGGGAAGCACAGGAGGGTGAGAAAATGGGGGTGCAAGGGAGCATGGGAAAATGCAGGGATGCCAATGAGGGTGTGAAAATGTGGGCAAAGGTGGACAGGAGAGTGTTGGCGCAAGGGAGGACGGGGGAAGTGTGGCTCAAAGAGGGCGGGAAAATGAAGGCAAACAAGGGCGGGGAGGATGGGAGGCCCAGTGGAGGCTGAAGGAGAGCACACCCCATGATGGCCAGAGGAACTCAGGACCCTTTGACTGAGGCGTGAGGTACCTCCTCCAAGCCCCGCCCCCGCAGCAGCCCCGCCCCGCGGCAGCCCCGCCCCCGTCCCGGCTTCTCTGCGGGGACCAGGCACGGTCTCGGCCTCTCGCACCCCCTGGCGGCCATCAGTGGAAGCGCGGCCCTACGTGGGCCTCTATTCGAGTTTCCCAGCCAGCCAAGGCCAACTGAGCCTCGGTGCCCGGGACGGCCGCTCTGACCGTCAGTGGGAGGAAATGGAGTGGGTCCGTGACGCAGCCTCCAAGTCCCCCTAACCCACACCGACTGAATCGGTGCGAAGAAATAGAATTGTGCAGGCATCTGGCGAATTAAAAATGTCAGATATTTGGGGCGCCTGGGTGGCTCAGTTGGTTGAGCGACTGCCTTCAGCTCAGGTCATGATCCCGGAGTCCCGGGATCGAGTCCCGCATCGAGCTCCCTGCTCGGCGGGGAGCCTGCTTCTCCCTCTGACCCTCCCCCTCTCATGCTCTCTCACTCTCAAATAAATAAATAAAATCTTAAAAAAAAAAAATGTCAGATATTTGCCCCCCCCCAAAAATAGAGAAAACTCGTGCAATCTATCAGTAATAGTTCAGAGGTTCTAGAAAACAGTGAAAAGCCGCTCTTGAAGGGAAGCTACAGAGCCATTAGGAAAACTTTTAAATATTATTGTAGAAATAGGAGAACTACTCCAATATTTGCCTAATAATAGAGCTTAGGGTGTGTTAAGATAGTCCTAATTCATTTCTCCCCTGCCTGGTCTCCTTCCTTATATTTTAGAAGATGTGTGGTGGGTTGTTTTTAAGATTTTATTTATTTATTTGAGAGAGAAGGAGAGAGCATGAGTGGGGGGAGGGTTAGAGGGAGAGGGACCAGGAGACTCCCTGCTGAGCGGAGAGCAGGACTTGGGGCATGATCCCAAGACCCTGAGATCATCACCTGAACCGAAGTGAGACACCTAATCAACTGAACCATTCACGGGCTCCTCTTAATCATTCTGATAAAGACACCAGTCATGTTGGATCAGGGTCCATTCACAGGGACATCGTTTTACCTTCATTTATCAATATTGGTCTATCAGTTGTAACAAATTGATCACAAATGCAAGATGTTAATAATAGGGCAAGCTGTAGGTGGAAGGGAGAGGAGATATATGGTAACTCTCTGTACTTTACATTCAATTCTTCAAGCCTAAAACTTAAAAAAAAAAACTCTATTAATTAAAAAAAAAAAAAGAAGGGGTGCCAGGGTAGCTCAGTCAGTTAAGTGTCTCACTCGTGATTTTGGCTTGGTTCATGATCTCATGGGTCGTGAGATCGAGCCCTGCACCTGGATCCATGCTCAGCAGGGAGTCTGCTTGGGATTCTCTCTCTCCTTCTCCCTCTGCTCCTATCCCCCAAAATAAATAAATAAATACATACATAAACAATATTTTTTAAAAAAGAAAACACTGGTGGTGGCATCTGTTTTTTGCTCCAAACTCATTTGCACAATCTGACATTTATTTTTTAAGTCTTTTTTAAAATGAGGAAATAGAACACAAATGCAGAAAACTACGTAAAACACATATGCCTGCTAAATGCGACAAATGAATCACGACAAAGCAAACAACACTGCAAGCATGTTTTGTAACTTTACATAAAAAATATAGTGCCATAGGTGTGATTTTTATAACTTGCTGGGAAGGCAGTGTGGTTTGTTCCTTAAGAACATGGAAATCTCAGGGTACCTGGGTGGCTCAGTCGATTAAGCATCCGACTCTTGATTTTGGCTCCTGTCAGGTATCAGGGTCAGGAGATGGAGCCCCGTGTTGGACTCCGTGCTTAGCAGAGAGTCTGCTTGAGATTCTCTCCCCCTGCTGCCCCCCATCATGATCCCAGGGTCCTGGGATCCAGCCTCATGTGGGGCCCCATGCTCAGCGGGGAGTCTGCTTCTCCTTCTCCCTCTGCCCCTCCCCCCGCTAGTGCTTGCTCTCTCGCTCAAATAAATAAATAAAATCTTTTAAGAAGGACATGGAAATCTCTTCTCTGCTATTTATTCACTGGGGGGCCCAGGGTTGTTTTGAGATAAATGAAATAATAAATCCCCATTTTACAGGTGGATAAACTGAGGCATGAAAGTTAAAACACCTGGCCGACATCACAGATAGAAGATGGTGAAACTCAGACTTTGATCCCAGGGTCTCAATCTTAATCACCACATAGATTTTTTTTTTTAAAGATTTTATTTATTTATTTGACAGAGAGAGAGAGAGGGAACACAAGCACGGGGAACAGCAGAGGGAGAGGGAGAAGCAGGCTTCCCGCAGAGCAAGGAGCCTGATGCGGGGCTCGATCAGGACCCCGGGATCATGACCTGAGCCGAAGGCAGACGCTTAACCGACTGAGCCACCCAGGCGCCCCACCACATAGATGTTTTGGTTGCAGGACAGCTGTCCAGCTCTCTGCCCATGAGTATATATACATAGTCTTTCTTATGTTAAAATATAGAATCCATCACAGCCTTGGAAATTCAATGGTGTGGAAAAACTATCCCAACACAGCAGATTCCAAGCTGGGTTTTCAGAACAATCATAACTTTTGAAAAAGAGCAGATACCTATTCTGTAGAGAAAAATGACCAGAATGAAAGCCATAAAAACACCAGCGTTGGTGAGCTTTTGAGCAACTTGGGGCTCAACCCCACAACCCTGAGATCAAGACCTGAGCCAAAACCAAGAGTTGGTCACTTGACTGACTGCACCACCCAGGTGCCCCAGGAAAAAACTGTTTTTAAGAAAATGGAGGGATGCTGTGATTGTAAAAGGAGAACCCAGAGGACCCAAGGACATGTGCCCCGGCTGAATGACAGGTGCTGTCTTAACCAGGACCTCTGCATGCTTGAAAGGGTTTTCTTGCCATCTCAGCTGATGCTCCTTGCTGAGTCTGGTGGGGATTTCGTGATATCGGAAACCACGACCTCATCTTTGACCACAGGAATGAGAGAGAATGTTCAGAAACAAACACAAAACAAACAAACAAACAAACAAAAACAGCTCTGGCCCGAAACTTCTCCATGATCTCAGGGATCCTGGAAAACAATCCCACCCAGTGTTGGAATTCCCTCTGCAGGCTGCATGCCAACTGTTTTTCTGTTGTTCTCTCTTAAAAGATCCAAGAGAGTTGGTGTGTCTGTTTCTTGGCGCCCTTACCCTGCGCCAGTGTTTAACAGTCTGGGATCTCCTCTTCCGTCTCTGGAGGTAGGAGCTCTTGTTCTTCCCATTTTACAGTCAACAATCTGGGGGCATGATGGGGGAAGCCTTGTGTTCAGGTCACACTACTGAGATTTGAATGCTGCCTTCTGAGTCCGAATCCAGGGCTTCTTTGTGTGGGTGGCATCTGCCTGTTCACTAATGCATGCAACTTTTCATTCAATGAGCATCCATTGAGCGCCCAGTGGATACCAACCGCTGTACCAAACAAAACAGTCGCTGTCCCTCCCATCACAAACTCAGATACTCGAGGGACCCAGATGTGTAAACAGACAATTACAACATTGGATCTGGGATGAGGGGGATCTCACTACCTGACAAAGCAACCTGGTCCATTATTGGTGGACCCCAGTGTGAGCCCCTTATTCCTTGGGCCTGGAAGTGCTCAGGTGTCCATGAGCCAAAGGGGAC